AGTTTTCTGCGCGCCATCACGAGAACAAAACGTGCAAAAGTGAAATGTACGGCCAAGGCGATAAGTTAGCGTACCCCACGGCGACCTCTCGTAGTAATTTTAACTCCTCCCTCTGGATCCCCGTATCGTTTGCATATAAATTGCATCTCGGGGTTTATTTACTGCTGTCAAGGTCTGCCCACATTTTCGATTTTAGTGCACCGAGCATTCCGAGTGAGTGTCTATAACATTGTCGCGGTTTACAAGAATAAGGGGATGAACCGAATTAAAATTAAAACCGATCCCGTTAAAAACTCAACTTTTACGATGGAGAAGACTTTTACAACAATTCCTTTCACGTCGTTCGCGCGATTTTATTGGCGCAGTAAACTCGTAAACGTGGGATTTTTGCCGATCGCTGCCGTTGCACGTCCCCTTTTTTCTCTCGAACGTTCTTTAACGTCTTCCGTTTTCATCGGTGTGGGAAGAAGAGTTCAATTGCATATTAACCGGACGGCGTTTCTTTATAATTCTTCTTAGAATAATTCGCGACGTTATTCGAAGAATGTCGTTGGGGTTTTAGATTTATGCCGGCGGAACTTTTACCTTTAAACCGTACGTACTATACGCAAAGTTGCGCAACGACGGCAATACGTGCATATCGTCGATGATTCTTGCGCAACGGTGCAGCAGGAATTGAAAAACAAAGGCGCGTTCCCACTCTGAGTGTCGGTATTAGGTAGGTAGCGCGTTCCGCGAAAAAGTTGAGCCAGAACGTTATAGAACTAGGCTAGAGAAACAACATATGAGGGCACTTAAACAAATACCAATTGGCCAACTGGCCATTACATTACAACGAGACCGGCGAGGTTAAACATTCATTTAATCTCGCTCTCCGGTTTAACTGCGTCGTGTCGTTTTATTTTGATTTTTTTTTCTCTCCAATTTATGCAATTAATCGATCGGTTTCATTCTCAACAACGATTCGAAACAATACGAAAATTGAAATAAATCTCTTGATGTAAGATTAATTTTCCCGTTTATGTTTGTTTTACGTTTACGCTCTAAGTTCGGTTCGGGTCACTTTATTTGACATGAGGGTTTATTGTACGCTTGATAAGGGCCTAATTAGATTACACAGGAACCCCTACAATCCACGTTTTACCGGCTGAAATAACATCTAAATCGATCGAATTCGTCGGTAATTGGAACCGCCAGTTTTTTAATTCATTTAAATTTATTCAAGCTTGATTAACTATGTAAAATGAAACGCTTTTTTCTAAAAACAATATTAAAAAAACAATTAAAATTTGCAAAGTTTGATTAAAATATATCATACGTAATCTCTCTCGTGTATATTTCACGAGTGACAATATATTGTAATAGTGAAAGCGTTGGATTAAGGTCCTTATAAGGTAGAGTAACATGTAATATTGATTTTATATAACGAGTTATACAATTATAAAGGCAGTTTTTAATTTATTTTTGGTGATATAAATCTAAATAATAATAGGGGATTTATGTTACAAGTTGTTTGTCAGTGCTAAATTATGTAGTAAAACAATTTTAAAAGTATTAATTATGTTGATGTAACGTAATCAAGCAATCAATCAATCAAATTCGAAGGAAGAAAATTAATGATTAAATGTTTTATGAATAAATTTGCTTCGTTAACTTTATCAAAGGAATAATATGCAATCATGAAAGTGTTTGGGGAACTTCAAACTAAACCTTGCAGTACTCTTCATATGTAATATTCAAATCTCAAACACACACTTTCACAGACAAAAGTTATGATAAAGGCGAAGAACGTATTGAGATTAAAATTGAAATAAAAGGAATACAGATAAAACAAGTGGAAGCATTTCAATTCTTGGGAGGTAAATGATACACAGGAAGCGGAAATAATTAAAAGAGTATTTAAGTCGTTGAGGTTATATTATGAACAATAAGATTATCGTTGAAAGAGAAGTGTTGAGAAAAATAAATTGAAAGTAATATATGGACCTATACTCAGATACGACAGCAAGAATGAAATATTTAAGATGTGTCAGAACAGTGACGAGGAGAGACAGAATGAAGTTAATAAACTAGGCAAATGTGATAAAAAAAAGAGGAAAGCATATGGGAGAAGGGTTAGAAGACGGCTCAAGACTACATTTATAGACTAAATGGAAGTAAGATGTGAAATAGAATTATAATAGATTACTATGATACGCATTTTCCTAACTCTTTTTATCGCAGCCATTTCTTTCCACACCAATTGTTCTTAATTTTGTGCAAAAACTAGAGGTGAAAGGCCTCCCTAAAGGCTGCACTAAGCCATCATCCCTGCCATCACAACCTCGCACATATTCCTTCCAGTGATAGGCACTGGGTAAATACCTGACGGGTAGGTATTTAGAAAATGGGTATTTATCCGGGTATTTACCCCGGCCCAGGGTAAATACCCAAACAGTACGTATAAAAGTAATACAAGTAAAAATATATCAGACTCCGAAAAAATGAAGAGGAAGATGATGAAATGGACGTTGAAGACGAGGAATTGTCAACGATCGAAGAAGTCATCAGATGAATCTGTCGAAATTTAGATTAGATCAAGTTATTATGATTATTATCATCAAGCCATTGTTAGACATAGGCTTCCCCTATTCTGTTCCATTCGATTCTATTCTGCGCTGTCTGAATCCAATTGTTGAGCTTTGCCACAATGTTGACCACATCATTTGCACCAGTTCTTCTTCATAGGTCTTCATTTCGGTCTTTGCGTTACTTTTAGCCTCCTGGCAGTGGCTACCGTTAATGTTAATGTTTCGGAGCCTTATGTCATAAGCAGAAACACGCATTAATTGAAAGCATTTCTTTTCAAATATATCGCTCTTGAAGATGTCTCTAAGTTTCCTGTAGGCTGTTCAGTTCGCTTGTTTGATTATCTCTCGATACACGAACCTCATGACCAAGATACACATCTGTCAACCCTCTCAATTTCATTATCCCCAATGTTGATGGTACACTTGGGAACAAGATTTGTCATAAATTTTGATTTCTTTACGTTAATATTTAGCCCGACTCTTGCACACACCTCCTTTAAGTCGTTCACCATTAGTTACATGTCTCCAAGCCTATCCAAAATAAGAACTATATCGTCCACGTAGCGTAAAATACTTAGGTATTTGCTATCAATGTTGATGCTTTTTTGGATCAAATCCAGTTGTTTAAATGTATTCTCCAGGACTGTGATGAACAATTTGGGTTCAACATTGTATCGCTTTATTTTACTCACAATCAGTACTTTACTATTTCTACTCTCTTCAGTATTTTTATGCAATTTTTCCGTCATTGTAGCATTCTTGTAGATGTTATAAACAAGTTTGGTGTATCGATAATCGACTCTGCATTCTTGAAGTGCTTGCAAAACTGCCAACAACTCAATTTAAATTAAATTTTATAAATATCTCTAAATACCCATCTTGGGTAAATACCCCCGGGTATATATCCAGGAAATTTACCCTTGAAAATAAATACCTGGGTATTTAACAACACTGATTCCTTCGGATTTCCCCACTAAGGTTACTCACTCTCCATCAAATTCTTTTTACAGCTGGTTGATTTTCCGTTTGTATGCAGTATTCATCATGGGAGGAAATAGTTCTATAGAACATTCTGTATCCAGAAATAATCCTTAACAACAAGGACCAAGGATTGCCAAATGCTCAATTGTTCTTCAAGAATAAATACCGGGAATTTCATATAACTCGCAATATATGAGATGAGATCTAGTAACCATAGTTACGAAACCACTATGCACTTGCACTGTCCCACATAAAATAGCAAAATAGCTTAATAGTAGAGACATTGGGTAGTTTTGCAAAGGAAAAGTTTTGCTTGGAAAATGTGTCCTTATGATAACTCTAAGTTTCCGTCTTAAGGGACTCACGACTAAACCCAAATGTTTCTCGTTCTCGGTATAGTGTTAGTTCTAGTATTGTACTAGCACTATCACTACAACTAACACTACAACTAACACTAGAAGAACTACACTAGAACACACCTAGACCTTGAAACATTCAGGTTGAGCCGCACGTCTCTCAAGACGGCTAAATCCGAATGATTCTAGTTCTAGGTCGCGTGTTAGTTCTAGTGATAGTACTAGTGTTAGTTCTAGTTTTATTGTAATAAAAATATGCAACATAGTGATATCTTATGCTAACTAGCGCTATCTACCACTGTTACTAGAACTAAAATTAGAGTCTCTTAATACGGCTAAACCCGAATGATTCTAGTTCTAAGTTTTCTGTTAGTTCTAGTGATAACTCTAGTGCAATACTAGAACTAACACTATACCGAGAACTAGAAACATTCGGATTTAGCCGCACGTCTCTCAAGACGGCTAAACCCGAATGATTCTAGTTCTAGGTCTTGTGTTAGTTCTAGTGATAGTGCTAGTGCAATGCTAGAAGTAACACTAGACCGAGAACTAGAAACATTAGGATTTAGCCGCACGTCTCTCAAGACGGCTAAACCCGAATGATTCTAGTTCTCGGTCTAGTGTTAGTTCTAGTGATAGTGCTAGTGCAATACTAGAAGTAACACTAGACTGAGAACTAGAAACATTCGGATTTAGCCGCACGTCTCTCAAGACGGCTAAATCCGAATGATTCTAGTTCTAGGTCGCGTGTTAATTCTAATGATAGTACTAGTGTTAGTTCTAGTTTTATTGCAATAAAAATATGCAACATAGTGATATCTTATGCTAACTAGCGCTATCTACCACTGCTACTAGAACTAAGATTAGAGTCTCTTAATACGGCTAAACCCGAATGATTCTAGTTCTAAGTTTTCTGTTAGTTCTAGTGATAATTCTAGTGCAATACTAGAACTAACACTATACCGAGAACTAGAAACATTCAGACATGTTGCATTTTATGTGGGACAAAGTAAGTGGGGTTTCTATGGAAATATATTTTCGTATATTGCATTTTAAGTGAAATTCACTGTACATTAGACATTTATACACTTACCTTGATGACTTCAAGCTATGATATCGAATTAAAATTTCTCCAGCTAATGAGTACACAGCACGTTTTAATTTTCACATTTAATAAGGCCAATAATCGATAATATGAAATAGAGGTTCATAATGATTTTCTAAGAAATAATAACTTAATTATAATTTTATTTAGCCGAGATAATTAGATGTTTTTTTTTTGTTACAATAAAATTTATTTCTTTGTATTGTTACATAAATTGATCTTTGCGGATGTGTTGTTGTTTTTATCCCGATGTAATATCGATTTCAAGCCGCCCTGTGTCAGACACGAACCAGCCAGAATCCAGCAGGATTCATCCTGTTATTTAATCAACTTATATTTAAAAAAAGTTATTTTTTAAAAAAGAAATAATCATTAATTTTTGTTGTTAACTATATCTAGCACTTACAGTAAAAATAAACTTTATAGTAGAATGATGATTCGATGATCAATGAATCAGTCAGTAATCCAAAGGTATCCAGATTCAATAAAATATCAAGTGATGATTCAGTTAGTTAATTTTGCGTTAAACACATCCGCATAAAAAAACCTTTTTATTCTTTAACCGCACCACGAGTTTCAAATTTCAATTTCCACACAATTCTTTATTATTACCAAACAACAACATTTTAATCGAATTGAGAGAGGTTTCAACACCAAAACAAATAAGAAAATAATAAATATTTCTTCGAAACGTCGCCGCGATGTTACGTAACACTGACTGCGAACTGCGACCTAATCGGCAACCCTTCGTGGTATATGGGGTGGTTTTTAGCGATGTTGCCGGTTCTGCGCGCAGTCGCCTTCCTCGTCGTCGTAAAATCGCGTTTGCACCGCTCCGATGTCGGAACTCGACGCGATCGCGTTCAGCGTTCAACTGACGACGCCAACGGAAAATCTCAATTCCAAGCCCCACGAGAGAGTCTCTTTTGCTGCTGCTGCTGCTGTTGCTTCTTGGTCTGGCCGAAAGCCAACGAGACCAAAGCGGCAGCAGCCTCTCCTCTCTTCCAGAGGTACCGTTCTTCTAATTGACGATGGTTTTTCGAAAGTGAACGTAACTCCGCCACTGGTAACGGTAACCGCTTATCGACGACGTCGACACGTTTAAATGGACCTCTCAAATAGAAGTGTACAAAAATTCCAAATAAAACTATTCTTTGAAATTATTTCATTTTATAGCGGGATTTTCATGCATCGTTTACAGCTTATTAATTAAACCGATATGGAAGTGGCGCGCTAACGATTTCATGATTTAATTACGCCGATTAAGCCGATCAAAAACTCGATCTCGGCTTCTCCCCTTTTTTTTCTCGTTACAACTTAATAAAGTTAAAAGTAACGACGCCTTCAGACTTTCTGAATAACAACAATTCACGACAATGGGTCTTGAGCGTTCTTTTACCACCCACGGGGCCGCATACGTAACATGAAACGCGAAAAAGCTTTGTACAGTATACAAAACCGAGCATAAGTTAATATATTGAAAAATAACTCGAAATAATCAGGACATCACCTTGGTTGAAGCATATTTAAAAAGGAGAAGGTTTCTAGAACATTTTCTCTCCGATTTTCTCTTTATTTCAAATAAAACGATAACGCTGCATAAACCTACTTGCATAAGTAGTGATTTAGGATGTACTCTAGATTTCACTCTCTTATAATATATTCTTGTGAGATTTTTGTTGAGTTGAAGAAAATATTTTTGCTAAATGGGGTTTAATAATTTTACGCATCCAGGTAATTTTTTAGTGCATTTATGTTAGGTTGTCGCATTAGCATTTGAATGGGCGACGGCGGCAGCGCGTTCTGAAGGATTAGAAGGACCGAAACGAATGGCTCGGGTCGGTTTACGTCTACTAGAAGAGAACGAGGTAATATTTAAGAACAGTCGGATTTTGCGTCGCACAGAGAAGGAAGAGAATGAAACAAGTTGTTGTAATTAAAGAGTGTTACTCTCTTCACCGTTAGATTTCGCGTATTGAGCAACAGTCCAAACGGGAAAACATTTAAGTGACAGTTACGGAGCGTTGAAAAAATGTTTCGCCCCGTTACATTTTATTCGATCCTTCAGATTCACCTTTTCTACTTTTTCATCGAACGGTTTCGTTTTTTGAGATCTCTATCGTGTCGTAACTCGTTCGTATCATCTTGGCGTTTAGACCAAGTGAAGCGCGCTTTTTGAATTATTTTTACCCCCTTCGCGATGGTAATTACCTTTTCTGTTCAACCATTATCTTGCACCGTGATAGATGGGACGCAACGCCGCGGGCCTACGCTATCTCTTCTTCACGTAGATGAAGATACCGATCAAAACGAGAGTAACAAGAAACTCGAACGAATACCGCACACTTCCACGACAACGAAGACGACGCCGTTTTTATTGCCGCAATAAAGACATAAACCGAGTCCTGTCATTAGGTAAACCATATGAAGATAACAATCTCTCCTTCTTCTCTACTTAGAAGGAACATAATCACTTCCACAAAATTAACTTTTAATGAGAATATCATGTTACAATATTATATTTATCATATTTCGCGAGTTCGTTGCGATAAATCAATTCCTGATCTACCTCCGCGAAAATAAATCACACGCAAAATGCTGTGCCCGTGCAACAATTCTAAGGTTGTAGTTGCGACAGAAGCGTGGTTTTGTTCAATAGCCAAATGGAAATCGCCTCGAGGTCAAGTTTACCTATATCGTCTTGAAGGAAATGTATCAATAACTTCCTACACAGATTCTTTTTTTAATTATTTTGATGTTATGAAATTGGTTTTATGTAAATGAGGATCAAATTGGATTATGTGTCACTTACCAAGTTAAACAGGAGGAAGTAATTTAATCAATAAATCTTATTTAATCTTACTAAAAAAAGTAATGCGTTGAAAATCAACGTTGATTTTTTCCCAATTGTACTTCTGAAACCAGGTCTTTGCCTGATTTGAGGTTGTTATGGAATTAACCCGTGCGACGATAGCAACAAACTTTTACCCGTAATTTCCTATCTACTTTCTTAGCTGACATCTTCCTTATAATTAGGGATAGTGAAAAATTAAATGCACCACTTGAAAGCTTGAATCTTTCTCTATCTAAAATAAAAATCGGGTTTTCGTCTGCCGATAAGTTGATATTAAGATCAATAAAAATGAAGAACACCGCGCTGTACTTAAAATAGCTAAAATTACCAAACTTCAAGGCCTTGTGCAATTGTTACGAAACAGAATTTAAAAAAACTGTTATCACAGTCAGAAAGGGCCTTCAGCTATCTTAATCCGGGTTTTCGTCGGTCAATATCTATCGGCGTCATGCCTAAATCACCCTTAATGTCCATCCTTACAGGCAGAAACGCTTAAATACCGTATTTTCTCGAATCTAATCCGCACTCCGATTTTAAAAATGCATAGTGGTAAAAAAATTTAGTTTGCGAATGTAATCCGCATCTTTCTTTGAGCAATTCGACAACACCAAAACGATGCGATGCTTGTTGTTAACCATAAATATATATTTTTTCCGACGAGTTTTTATTAGACTAGACTTTAAATTTACCAAGCCAGAAAAAATTGGAAAATAAATATAATATACTGCCCTCCCCTGCTATACTGCCCTCGTAGTAGCTCGAACGTGGTGTGTGCTTAATTATACATATAATAGGGTAATTATAAAAAAAAAGTAGCAAAAATCTAAAAGGTTCTTCTATACAGCAAAGTTTAAAGAGATGTTATTAAGTTAGCGTTAAGGAAATCGAAAAGCTGGTACAATTTTTGCTGATAACGAGAGTAACGTTGCAGCTGTTGCGGAAAGACCAGGTAGCTATTGGAGACTGTGAGGCATCGTGCAAAAAATTTACCGGGCCAAAGAAGAGACGATTTCATGAAATTGACGAGGCAGTTTTCTAGTTCTCTCAAGAAAAACGAAAAGAGGGACTAAAAAATTTTTAATACTAGCTAAGGTTGGACTGTGGGATTTATGCGCCGAATGGTGTTATCGTTGAGGCGCAGAACTACACTTTCCCACAAGCTCCTAATGATTTTCAATTTGTCTCAAACTGTAAATGTCAACAAAATGCCACCCAATTACACACTGGAAAGAAGAGGTGTGTGGGAAATTTCTTTATAAACGAATGGTTGCGAAAAATTGCGCATCACATTGATGCTAGCAGTAACAAGTGATAGGGAAAAATTGCTGACATTACTACTATTGAGAAAAAAACCATTCTGAAATCTGAAAGACTTCCCGAATGAAGTCCTAGTTTGGGCACAACAAAAAGGATGGATAATTGAAAAGCTGATGATAGAATGATTAAGACAAGTATGGAGTCGTAGACCAGGAAGATTATTAAATAAGGATATTAATTAATCATAGATGATTGCCCTTGGTTTAGACTTCTTGTCACAATAATAATACCTGGTGGAATAACATCCATACTACAACCTGTGTATGTATATGTATATTAACAAACTCGAGAATTAACAAAACCGGGAGCAATTAAAGAAGCTTCTGAACTTGTTTAGTGAGTGTAGGCGACATGGAAAACGATCCCTGAAAACAATATTATAACATCATTTAAGAAGTTTTGTATAATCCGAAGATGACGTAATATGGGAAGAAAATGATACATAAAAATGTAAATATCGTTCTAAAACCCTTAATAAAGTGTTATTGTTATAATGTGATTTTATTTTACTATTTTCCAAATTGCAACTATACGACTGCGAATCTAATCCTCTAAAGTACTCTTCCTCTAAACAACTTTCTTATTAGATAGGGAGAAAACTATACAAACATATCTATCTTATTGAAAATTTTCTGCTCTTTCTAATGGTGTCTTTTAATAACAATTATACACTTTAATTTCACAACAATTATTAATTAAAGTTATACAGGATGGTCAGAAATGTGCGTCAAATTTCCGTATCTCAAAAAAATTATTTTTTTAAATGGCAACTCTACTTTTTTCCCTCACCACCGTATTATATGCTGAAAAATCAGGAGACTTTGTGATTACATCCCATACTAGTAGAGTTACTAGTAAACATACTAGTAGACTTTAAAT